AATAATGACTCTCATTTTCCCTGTTTGGAAATTGGTAGTATAATAGTTGCCTTACTTTCTTCCCCCACAAATTGGAGTTGGTAATAATTGTCAGTCGGCTTTCCTCAGAAGTGAAATAAGCGGGTTGCTTTACTCATTTGCCTGTAATACATGCTCAACAGTCTTACAGGATTTGGAAGTTCTAAAGAAAATGCAAGAAATGATGTCTGTCATTATGTATTCAGTAAACCTTTATGGAGTTTCTGCTACAAGGGGAACCCTTCAATGAGAGAAAAAACAACACAGTTCCTGCTCTTGGAGTTTACAGTCTAGGGAGGAGATGATTATTAATCAAATAGTTACACTAAAGATCGTATCCAGTACATACTGTTTTTGAGTAAATGCCATGTAAATTTCCTTCTGGCTCCAAAGAAGACTTCTGCTGTAACACTGCTCCCTCTGCACAAGTTCCAGAGGCTTCTAAGGCAAAGGAAATGTCCTCAGATTCTAGTTTTTTAGGCAGTGGCTTTTTAAAATCAGGGAGAAGCATCTAAATGTGGTGGTGCATGCCTGCAATTCCAGCACTCTGGGAAGCTGGGAAGCTGAGGCAGGACAATTTCAAGTTTAAATTCAGCCTAGCAACTTAGTCTCAAAATTAAAAAAAAAAAAAAAAAAAAAAAAGCTGGGGGTGAGGTTCAGTGCAAATGACCTAGGTTCAGTCCCCATTACCCAGAGAGGGAGAGGCAAGGGAAGACAGACATGAATGCAGAGTGAGAGAGAGACACACACAAAAAGAGTTTGTTTCGCTTTTCTCTTTGTGGTTTAATTTAGCTAAAATTAAGATTTTTTTTCCGAAGGAAGGAGAACGAAACTTCTATAAAATGAGAGCTCCTATCCAAAGCTAACTTACTATGACCCTCCCAATCACTCTGCCAGCTCCCTGGAAAGCTGTGGAACCTCCAACAATAAGAAGGGGCAGGACACAATGAGTCAGAACCCTCAAAGGACAGCTGCTGTTGCTCATCCCATCTTCCAGTGGCTCCTGCAACCTACAAGGAGGGGGAGTGAGCACTCATACTCTGGAAATGTCCTAGGGCAGGAGGGCACTGCTCACTGAACACGCTATGCTGATCCTACAGCTGTATTTGTTTGCCTGGAGCCCTTAGTGGAACATTGACTCTTCAACCCTGAGAAGGTCAGATCTTTTAAGCGATATCCTTGCCTACTTTGCCCCTTGAGGCAATTGTTCCTGACTCTAAGAAATCCCTAACTGCTCCCTGTCCCCCACCCCACTTTTCAGTACCTTAAAGACCAAAGTCAAATCTTGTTTTCTCCTTAGTATTGATTGTTTTTTAACCCCCTGAGCTGGTTTTATAATCCTAGTTCTATTGCTCTCTTCTTGGCTGGCTTTAAAATGACCTATAGATTCATTTGATAACTTCCTGCTAAGCAAGGAATTTACTAACTTCTTCCAGCAATGTTAGCAACCTGTCTCTAGTTCTCTTATTTTCTCAGTGCTTGGTGTCTTCAGGGAACATGTCCTGTGTCTAGGGTCTTTTTGAAAGGGGTCTCGAGCCCCCTTTGGGTGCCCCTTACCCAATTATGCCACTCACGCACCAAGAGGTCCGGCAGGAGATCTTTATTGTAGGGAGGCGAGCGGGAGGCAGGAAAGCAGAGAGAGCGAGAGAGCGAGAAGAGGAAGTGCTGGGATATTTATAGGGCAGGCAACGGAAGATCCTTCCTTGGGAGAAGCGGTCTTTGTTATCCTATCGCAAGCCAGGTTGCCTTTTGAATTTCGCGCCTTGCAGAAGCTCTAGTTTCGCGCTTTACAGTTTCGGCGGGAGAAAGGACTCAGTCGGGGAAGAACCCGGAAGTAAGATATAAAATGGCGGGGAGGGGGGTGTTATATTTTAACATGTGCGATCTCCTGACACTTTTAGTCCCAGCAAAGTCAACACCACCTCATGCAGACCACGTATGGGGACTGGTTGAAGAGAGAGGAGGCTGAAAGATGTCTCCTTATTCCTATCTTAGGATTGTACATACAGGAACAAGAAAAGCCTTCAAAGAACTTATGCTACTAAGGATCTGATATTTCTACTAACAAATATGATATGGATTGTTTCTTCTTTCTAGCTTCTTTTCTATAAATATCTCTGTTCTGCTGGGATAGACTACTCACATCAAAAGAAGGAAGATGTGTTCGAAACAGAAATGTGTTTGCTTTTCATCTGTTTCTAGCTTTGGCCACATGCTTTCTGATTCCGTGTCTCAGTCTTATTGGTTGTTTATATTTTTATGCCCTCTGGACCTATTCCCTATGCTCATTACTCATCTCATGCCACAACTTTGTAGTTTGGAAAGGGGCAGCATATTCTGTGTTCCTTTTAGAATGTGGATAGCCTCTTCCCCTTTAACTGCAATAGCTGGATGCCTGACCCCCACTGAATTTTGGTTTAGAAGTGAAAGTTTCAGGACTGAACTGAGATTGAGTTATGGCTGAGATCTGAAAGTCAGTTTTTGAAAACTGAGCATACCCTTATATCATTGGTTCCAGACCACTAAAGAGAGATGGTGGGATTTTAAGATGTTCCCAGAACACTGTCAAATGTAACTGGCCTCGTAATAGTCCCGCTGTGCATCTCCACTTGGATTAAACCTGTTTTTCCCCTCAGGCATTATTGACTGGTACAGCTGGGGAGGGCATGGAGAGAGAACTTTCCAAGTACCTGTCCAGGGGATTCCAGTTACTCTGCTAAGGTTGGGATCTAAAGTGTCCCCCCAACAGGCTCACTGTTTTGAAGGCTTGGTTGCTGATGGGGTTTGGAGGAAGCTATTGGATAACAAGAGTTACAACTACATAAGTGGATTAATCCACTCATGAAGTCATAATTTGATGGCAATATGGAAAGGTGATAGATACAAGAAGTGAGGCCTAATTGAGGGAAAGGGATCACGAGGCAGAAACTTGAGGACTTTGTCTGGTTCCCAGCCTCTTCCTGTGCTTCACTCCCTCTCTGTTTCCTTGCTACTACAGGTGAACAGTTTGCCTCCACCCTGCCCTTCTACCATGATGTTTCTGCCTTGCCAAAGGCAATGAAACCTGCTGACTCTGGACCAAAACTTTTGAAACGAAAGCCAAAATAAACCTATTCTCTTCTAAATTGGTTTTTCTCAAGTATTCAGTCATAGCAGCAAAAACCTAAAAAAACACCTTTAATCATAAGGAGACAGAGCAAGGAAGGAGGATTGTTAAGTTCAAGACCAGCTTAGACAGTGAGACCCTGTCCAAAGTAAAAAAATGAAAAGGGCTGAGGATGGAGCTTGGTGGTAGAGTGCCCCTGAGCCCAGTCTCCAGTACCAGAAAAAATAAATGCAGAAGGATACAAAGGAAAACTTCGGAAGGAGCATGCTGAGAACCACTCCCACACTCACTGCTACGCCTCCCCTGCCCACAGCACACAACCTAGCAGTCACCCATTCAGTGCCTGCTGGGGATCTCTCCTCCTAGAGAAAACTAGCCCTGTGCACACAGCAGCAGAAGCGGATTAGAGAAAAGAACACTGGATTAAGCATCAGGAAACTCCGATGCCCAGTTTTACCCATGAGAAACCGTGGAATTTGGAGAAAGCCATTTAGCCTTCTGTGTTTCAGTCCCTTGGTTTGTAAACGGAGAAATACTTACCCTTGCTCTTCTTCTGGAACTGTGAGAGATTGCTGTGTCACATGAAACACTGAAGGGGAATGACCTTTGGGGGAATACAGCTTTGCACGTGTTGTATTTCTACAAACCACCTCCAGACTACTGGGATTATTTTTGTAGGGTTATTTAATGTTCTTCATTTAGGGGGGTGCTGTTATGCCTGGAGTGGAATCCAACCTCTAGGAATGCAGTCTATACTCATAGATCTTGAAACCCCTCAGTCGTAAGGTGCAACCACAATCTGTCCAAAAGGTTTTGCCCTTTGACTCGATTTTGAAGCTGTCTAGCAGGTACATGGTATCTGAGACTGGCCCTCTTTTCAGCCAATCTTGAGACCTTTATCACTTTTGGTTTTTTGGGACAGGGTCTCACTATGTAGTTGAGACTGACCTGGAACTCACTATGTAGCCCAGGCTGGTCTCGAACTCACAGCGATCCTCCTGCCTCAGCCTCCTGAGTGCTGGGATTACAGACGTGCGCCACCCCTCCTGGCGTTGGCTTTACCTTTATCACTTTGGATGGACCATTGTGTAACCCACTTAAGAGTATCCTGAGAGACAAAACTATATCATGTAAAGGTACAGATCCCAATGATAAATGTAACTATATTGTTTGTTTTAAATGTACCAATAAGCTTAATGGGGGAAAAAAGGGTATCCTGAGAGTCAGTATTTGATCCATCACTTACTACTAAGTGGACTCCAGCAACAGTCTGTAAGACTGCTTTATCCTCTGGAAAAACTCACAGCGACTCCTGCCTCAGCCTCCTGAGTGCTGGGATTACAGACGTGCGCCACCCCTCCTGGCGTTGGCTTTACCTTTATCACTTTGGATGGACCATTGTGTAACCCACTTAAGAGTATCCTGAGAGACAAAACTATATCATGTAAAGGTACAGATCCCAATGATAAATGTAACTATATTGTTTGTTTTAAATGTACCAATAAGCTTAATGGGGGAAAAAAGGGTATCCTGAGAGTCAGTATTTGATCCATCACTTACTACTAAGTGGACTCCAGCAACAGTCTGTAAGACTGCTTTATCCTCTGGAAAATGTGAGAAATGTTGTCTTGACTCCATAGAATCAAATGAACGTGTAAAGTATGTGACCAAATTCCTGACCAATACAAGTTGGTTCTCAGCTTCTCTTTACCTACTTTAGGAAGGATTCTTACTAGGCACAACTGCCTGAGGGTCATTTACACATCTCAGAGGCATTTTAGAAAAGTATCAGAGAGGGGACCAGCCTGCAAAGGCCACTCCTGCCAACCTTTCTGATCTCGCTGACTTCGCTTCTTACTCTTGGTACCTTGCACAGGGAACATCATTGGCTCCGGAATCTTTGTCTCCCCAAAGGGTGTGCTGGAGAACGCTGGCTCCGTGGGCCTTGCTCTCATCGTCTGGATTGTGACAGGTGTCATCACAGCTGTGGGAGCCCTCTGCTATGCTGAGCTGGGGGTCACCATCCCCAAGTCTGGAGGTGATTACTCCTATGTCAAGGACATCTTTGGAGGACTAGCTGGGTAAGCAGATCTGTGGAGGCCTGAGTGGTAGGGGGAGTGGGGATAAAGAGGTACAGAAAGAGGTCAGATTGCTCTTTTGCTTCCATGTTGTCCTGTGTCTGCTTGGTGCTCTGGAGAGTGACGGAGGAACCAGGCTGAACTTTTAATCTTTATGTTGACCTTAGTGGGCAAGAGTCTCTGAGCAAAAACCAAAAAACTGTGTGACAACGCTGACCACAGACTGCCAGGCAAAGCGATCACAAGGTCCTTTTATCTTAGCAAATGGGAGTGACCGCCTAAGATACAGTGTACCATATTCTCGGATTGCCAAAGATAATGGCCTCCCTCTGGAGTCCAGCCCTGATCTTTGGTTTTCTCAGCTTCTGCAGCCCTGCTAAAATCTCAACCCTCACCTATGGGCCAAAGGGTGTGGAAGGCACCTCCCTCTTTCCCCGGCAGTGGCATTAAATAGCCACACCCTTAACTCACCTTGGCTGTCAGAGCTCCATTATGAGATGCTGGGGGCAGAGTGGCAGAGAAGAGATGATGAAAAGAAAGGGGAGAGGAAGAACGCCAGGACTTGTGTCAGTGCCAGCTGGAACTTAGCTCTTCACCCTGAAACCGATTTATTGCCATCGCAGAGAGCCAGGTGTCTCATTTGAAGTGCGAGTGGGAATGGGAGCTGGGAGCAGGAGACTTCAGCATCCCTGGAAACAAAAAAGGAAACACATCCCCTTGATGCCCTGCCTCTGCTCATGGCTGCCAACCACTTGCCCAAGTTTTCCTCTGGTGATTTCTGAATCCCTGCCATGCCTGGGCACATCAACATGGCGTTCTGTTCCTTCCCCTCAGGTTCCTGAGGCTGTGGATCGCTGTGCTGGTGATCTACCCCACCAACCAAGCTGTTATTGCCCTCACCTTCTCCAACTACGTGCTGCAGCCGCTCTTCCCCACCTGCTTCCCCCCTGAGTCTGGACTTCGACTCCTGGCTGCTCTCTGCTTATGTAAGTGTCCTCTGCACCTTGCTTTAGAGACAGCCTATTGCTGGGTGCGATGGTACACACCTGTAATCCCAGCACTCGGGAGGCTGAGGCAGGAGGATCATGGTGAGTTTGAGGCCAACCTGGGCAACAGAGTGAGTTCAAGGCCAGCCTGAACTGCATAAGGAGACCCTGTCTCAAAAAACAAGTAAACAAACAAGACAGAAGTCTGGTCTACTTCCCTGTCAACTTGCCAACTCACACTTTCTAAACTTCCTTGAAAGAGAGTTTATCTCTGGGCCCTGTCCTGGATTAGGTTTCTAACTGGGGAAAATCCATAAAGACAGATGCTGCATTAGGATTCAATCAGTTGTAGTACTAATTCAGAGAAGGGGAAAGAACTCTGAGCTGGGATGCAGAAGCTTCAGAGAAGTTCTGCAGAGACGTTTCTTGGAAGTATGTTTGGCACTCTCCAGTGTATCTCAGAGGCCACGTTTCTACAGTTCGTTTGGCTCCTGCCTTCTCACACCTAACACATGTACCCTCGGCTAAGCCTTTCCCACATTCATCCTGTTGGTTTGTAGGGAGCAGAAGGACCACTCAGCACCCCAATTCCTCTCACAGGACAGGCAGCTATGGGTTCTCCTGGCAGTTGTGCCACCTTTGGAGGTGGAGAGCAGCCGTGGGTTAGGCCCCACACACACCTAGGCAAGTTATAATGTGGGGCTGAAAGCCTTGTTTGGGGACTTTATTCCTCATGCTGGGTCAGATCTTCCCACAGACCTGGAGGCAGAAGGATGCAGGCCCCAGAACCAGGCTGCCAGGCCTGCATCTCCACTCCATCTGTTCTTACTACAGTGTCTTGAGCACTTGGCAGAGTTACCGGCCCTGACCCACTGTGAGAGGAGATTGTACTCCTGTACCTTGGAAGCACACAGACTGCATGAGAGAAGGAATGGTGGGTGCCCTCCTCACAGCCCTGGGTGCCTAGGGCCCCAGTCACGTCAGTCACTGAGGGTGAGCTGGGGTGTCTGGCTGTTGAGGCCTCTTTGTGTTTGTTCTTCACTGGATCCAGAGCTTCCAGGGGTGGTCGTGCATGCCTATGATCCCAGCCCTCGGGAGGCTGAGGCAGGAGAATCATCTGTGAGTTTGAGGCCAGTCTATGCTACATAATGAGATCAAGGCCAGCCTGAACTACATAGACCCTGTCTCAAAAAAAAGAAAAAGAAAAAGAAACAAACAGAGCTATGGGGAGGGAAGAAACGAGGGCGTGGGAATTCAGGAAAAGTTGCTGTTTCTGCTGTCAGACAAGCTAATGGGGGAGGAAGGGGAACCACATGAGTGCTGGCCACTGCTGTTTCTGTGTTTGTGCACACAGACAGTTTCCTTTTTCCTGCTGATGCTGCTGAAGTGTCTCAAACAAGAGGCCACCCTTATCCTCCTCCTGGGAATCAACAGCTCTGAGCATGTTCAGTCCTTCCAGGGCTGATGCAGAGCACCTTGGCAGTCGCTAAACCTGAGACTAGAGTGGTTCCTGCCTGTAGCTAGCTCCAGAAAGAGGGCTTGCTCGCTGGTCCTCACCTAAACTGCCAGCCCCAAACCAGCAAGAAACTCAGAAGCTGCTGATGACAAGATGGCGAGCTCCTCCCCATTTCTCTTTATTGCTATCAAAATGTCCATGAAGTGTACCTGGCCTCTCCTCTGCCTCCTAAGTAGAACTGCAAGGCAGTCGCCTCCAACGGCGGTCAGTCTTGTCCTCCAGAGACAGGCGTTTTTCAGTTTCCTTGAGATGCGTGTTTAAGTATTTTTCTACCTTCATAAGCAAAAAACCGTCACCTCACCCTTTTCCTCCTGCTTCCTTAGAGGAAATGGAGAACTGCTCCACACTTCTTGCTCTTGGTGTCCTTTTCCCCCAGCTGTGAAGGCTACTTGGAGCTGCAGCAGGACAAAGTGCACATGTCCACATATGTGTCCCTACGCACACACGCACGCACACACGCACGCACACACACATTAGGGAACTGGAGTATGCACAAGTATGCTTACACAGGAAATCCTTTTTTTCTGCTCATTGGTAAAGATGGGTTTCATCCCGAGCAGTGCATGGCCTCAGGGAAAGGCCCACCCTCTGTGGAGAGGCCCCTGGAGTATTTCGAAGAGCCCTGGAGGACAGGACCCTGAGCCCACAGGGACAGCAGGTGTGGCAGAGCCCCAGGACAGGGCTGTTCAGGAGAAGATGAGGTCAGGTCTCACACTGTGGTGGGTGAGAAATGAAGTTGGGATGAGCCAGATTGTGGGAGTGGAAAGGCGGAAAGAACCTGCTGTGACTGGCTTGCCTGGCAAGAGCCTGGAGGGGGTAAAGGAGAGAGGGAAAGACTGCAAATTTGAATCATGCTTAGGCAGCTTTGAGTTACTCTATTATTGAGGTCAAAGCTGATTATTCAGTGCTGAGTCTGCAGAATATCCCTGGCCACCAGGCAGTTAAAAAAAAAAAATTTTTACATTTTAGTTAAATGAAAAGCCTTTCTTCTCCACAGCAAGCGTATTAGTGGGAGGAAGGACTTAGGAAAGGGAACTGAGAGGTGTTAAAACTTGGCTTTGGTGCCTTATTTTGTGATTTGCTTAGTTTCTCTCTCTCTCTCTCTCTCTCCCCCCCCTTTCTATCTCTCTCTCCCTTTCTCTCTACCTCTCCCCCTTTTTTCTCCCCCATATCCCTCTCCCTCTCTCCCTCTCTCTTCCACTCCCTTTTCTTCTTTCTCTTTCTCCCTCTCTTTCCTCTGATTGTCTTTTAAGAAAATGGTTATATTGTCCGTGTAAAAAGATTGAAGTCAGATACAGATCAACAAGGAAAGCCCCCCCACCCGGTCTTGCCTCTCACTCCTCCCCAGACCAGTGACCTTGGTAATAGTGGATAAATAACCTTACAGTTCTAAATAAAATGCATCTGTTGATGTACATGTCTGAGTGTCCAGATATTCAAATCAACAGGTTATTTCAGCATCTTGCCTTTTCACTGTTTAGGTTATTACCTAAGTTTTTATTTGTCAAATAACCAAATTGCAACAAATTAGTTTAAAGATCTTAATTGACCTTTTCTTTCCCCCTGGTATTAGCACCTCACACATACTAGACAAGCACTCTACCACGGAAACCCCAGCCATTGGCTTTAACTTTCATTGTAGAATTGGGCAACGCTTCATTTTGGAAAAAAGAATATATGTCCCAGTGGTCTGAGCATTATAAACAGAGAAGGGTTTTATAGACAGAAGGGTTTGAAAAAAGCAGAAAAAATAAAAGAAAAAGCTGGTATAGTTTGTTGGTCATTTTGTAGTAACTCTCCTTGTAATGTGGGGCGGGGAGACAGAATAACAAGAAAATAACTGAACTAACTCTACTTATTCCTTTGTGTAAAGATTAAAGCAGAGGGAATTTCATTATCATACCATTAAGTTTGGCAGGTTTGGCTTAGTAGGTCTGATAACATCATTTTGATTTTTACCCTGATGTGTTGGGGAACAGTTCAGCAACTTAGTTCAAAACAATAGCCTCTAATAATTTCTCTCTTTTGTTTAGCGCGCGTGTGCGCACGTGCGTGTGCGTGTGTGCGTGTGTGCGTGTGTGTGTGTGTGTGTGTGTGTATGTGTGTGTGTTGCTAGAGAACAAACCTAGGGCCTGGCACATGCTAGGCAAAAGCTTTACCACTGAGCTACACCCCCCGCCCCTGTCCTGCTTCCTAACTGTATATAGGTTTTCCTTTGGGATCTGCTCCTCCTATTTCTCCTGAGGACTGGGCCAGCTTTTATTTGAGCAGATCCTGGCCCCCTCCCTTTCTTTTGGGCCTAGGGTTACATCTTGTATCTGAAGGAGAATCTTTCCATTCAGTTTCCCTGGAAGTCTTTTCCTTTAAAAAAATTCTTTCTACTTCTTCACCCTGAGAAAAAAGAAGTAACCCTATATGTGTTCCTGGGGGTGGGAGGGATTCTTCTTATCTTGTTATCTATCTTTCTGCTGACATTCCTAAGATTCTACTATCCAGGACTTCAGATTTCTCCCTCTTCTTCTTGAGCTATTTGGAAGAGAAAGAACTAAGTGAATTTCTCCTAACCCTGAGTCACCCTGTAATTCCTCTACAGAAGGCTCCAACTGTCCAAAGTGGGTTGTTCTCAGTTGTTTTGCAAGTCTCCTGCAAATTAATCCCTTGACATGAGAAGGTTCAACAGTCTTTCCTAGCATCTAAATCCCTTAATCTCAGTTCATCTTCCCTTGAGCTCTTATATTCTCTAGCCTCAAACTTCCATCCCCAAACATTAAAGGTTGCCTCAGATGCCTGAGCAGCACTGCTTTCTTGCCCTTTCCTAGTCCTAAAAAGTTCTCTGAGTGTCAGATCAGCTTTGATTTAGGAATTTAGACTGGTATAGATTTGATTCCCATTTATCAGAGGTCCCTTTTATCTCTTAACTATGTGGACAGCATTGAAAATAAAAACATATGGAAAGCCGGGCGTGGTGGTGCATGCATGCCTGTAATCCCAGCACTGGAGAGGCAGACGCAGGAGAATCGCTGTGAGTTTGAGACCAGCCTGGGCTACATAGTGAGTTCCAGGTCAGTCTCAACTACATAGTGAGACCCTGTCTCAAACAAACAAACAAAAAAACATGGAAAAATCTCTTGAGTTTTACTTAGTGGTCAATCTGACTGATATTTTATTTTACATTTATATGATACATCATTAAGTTAAAAATTATTCTGAGAGGGATGGGGATTTAGCTCAGTGGTTCTGGAGCCTGACTCACAAGCACAGGGACCTGAGTTCAATCCCCAGTACCAAAAAAAAAAAAGAGAGTGGACTTTCTTGTAGAAAATAAACTAGAGAATGCATCAGTCATTCAGCATATTAAGCTCCTATGTGTAAAAAAAAGAGTGGACTTTCTTGTAGAAAATAAACTAGAGAATGCATCAGTCATTCAGCATATTAAGCTCCTATGTGTAGTAGAAATAAGGCATAATTAAAGAGTCTTGGGAAA